AACCAGCAGTTAGCATAATGGCTATGTGGCTGGACTCCCACGTAGTCGACTGTGGTTCGCGTCCCGGACCTGGTGGCTTAAAACTCACGCCAGGCATGTGTGCGTGTGTGCCCAAGATCCTGAGAGGAGAACGGAGGAAAAGGGATTGCGGTGTGACCATCCCCCTGGGGGGGGATTTCTCGCTTTCTGTCTCTATGTCTCTCTCTGTCTGTCTGGCGAGCACATGCGCCCTATAGCAAAAACCTCTCCAAAAATAAATAAATAAAGAGAGAATTTAAATACCTTTTATTGGCTAAACTCTGACAAAAACTGAAATGTCAAATAACAACAAAATCATGAGTTTTCTAACTTAACAACTCAGGTACGTGTTATTCACACCATTATGTTTTTTCCAGCTTACTTTTGTCTAAAGCAGAGGCTCTAAAACATGTTCTGTGACAAAAATCTTCTGTGACCTAAGATTGTGCCTTTTCTTGTAAAAATGTCTTAATCTATTTAATCTCAAAAAATTAGTAACCAACACAAGCACTTTTCATTTAAACTGATGTCCTATAATCCTTTATGCATTAATTTATCTATAGTTATGTATAAATCTATCATCTATTGGGCTGCTGGAGAAAGTCATGACATATTTTTCTGTACAAAAATGCATGATGACTTTTCTGACGGCCCAATATATACCCACCTATGTACCTATCAGGTCAAGTTCTCTTGGGTAACACATTATACAACTTTATTATGACCTAAATTTAGTGTTATTTCTTATTTGTCCCCAAATTACTTTTTTTTATTTTAATGAGCTTTCAGAATTTTATAAATGTGTAGTTGCTTATCCTCTTCGCTTACTCACTCACCCATGCACCCAACCCACCAGGTGTCTGCTGACACGCGCACGAAGCATGACTTGCTGAAACAAAGAGCCCTGAAAGGTTTCTATCACTGTGAGTGTCCCCCAGTATACCCCCCAAACCCTCCTCTCTCACACACAAGAGCAGTGTCTTCCAAGATCTGCTTTTGGAAAACGTGTATTTAAACTCATGTCTGAATTACTCCTATCATTCTTAGAAGCTCCATAAATCTCTCCTCTTAGCTGTGGACTCTAACTGATATGGGGTTAGCATCATAATAAAATAATATATTTAGCATTAGTTTTTTTTGCCCATACCTTTGCTAGATCATGTTGAGCATTTGGAATTTTGAGATCTAAGGAATAGATTGATGCTGGAGAAAAAGATACGATAGCTGTTTTCAGTACAAGGGTGTGGTGAATTCAATCAGGGAAGCCTCTGGTCCACTCCCTCACTTAGCTTGGGCAGTTCTGCTTTTTCATGTACTGAGCCGACATGGAAGATTTGGGGGGTGAGGGAGTGGGAATAAAGCAGGAGAGGTATGGAAAGGCTAAAACTAGTTGTCTACTCTGATTTCTATCTCGGTTTGAAACCGATGTGTGAGATCAGGTTTGTGCCTGCAAGGGTCTCTTTTTCTTTATTAAAAGCAAGAGATTTTTTTCTGTGTCTAAGCTCTCCAAAATCATTTATAAATGTTAAAGAAAACGAATCCTGGCAACTAAGCATATGTGTTTCAGCCTACAATTTGAGTCTTGCTAGTATAATTCATTTAAAATATTTATTGGGTGCCATTCTACATAAAGCACACTCTATTCACTGTCCCAGGGCAAAAATGCCTCGCTGTGCCATGTTGATTAAACATGGGCTTAGATACTTGACACAATAGCTTCTTTAAATTTAGGCGCTTTGAAGAAGAGACAGAAATACAATGAACCACTTCAAGACTAGATTAAAGGAAATGGCTGGCTAGTAAGGAGAGGCCCTACCCTAAGGTTCATTTATGTTCTTTGCCCTTTTCAGACTGTGCTAAGCCACTACCCAGTCACCGCTACTTGAAACCTAGGGTCTAATTAATGAGGAGATTTGCCTTCTCTGCCTATTCCTGTCAACCTTATTTCAATTCATGGGGTCAGTAGTTAGATTCAAAGTCAGCTGACTCCATTCTTCCCTTTTCCTAGAAATCACATGTCCATTGTTAAGATGCTGGATCATTAAAAGTCAGAACCACAGAGCGTCGGTCCTGCCTATTGCAGACGCCTCCTCTTCCAGCTCGCGGAGTTGGATGAGCTCATCCTAATTACACGGAAAACTGAAGGTCAGTGCATCAAATTAATGCAGCAGCATATTTCAAAGGGGCGCGTGACCTCCTCTCCCGACTACAATTTGGTCAGTGAAAACGGCCCTCTCCTCCCTGCTGCCAATATTGTCAACAGACATTCAGCAGAGAACAATTGGGAGTATTGAAACATGTAATTAAGAACTGCTTAAAACTACTCTATTCTAATTAATAGAGCCAATTTGCACAATATGTAATCTTTTCAGTTCTTTAGTACAGTCCAATGGTCTTCAGTAAGCAGCTCTAATCTCCTCAGGCTCAGGAAAGAAAAGCTATTTTCTAACTCTATTCCCCTTTTAAAAGCAGAGGCTAAATGCCAACCAGTATTTTGCATGTTAACTCTACTGGCGTCAAATCTGGAATTCTGGCAAACTGCTAGCTGCTGTTGGGTGCCCAGCCAACACACGACCAGGGACAAAAGTAAGCAATATGCTGACATTGTGCAAGACAGAAACTGGGTGACATGTAAGACTTGGCTTTTAATAAAATGGAGGTAATTTTGAAACCAACGATCAAGTTTTAAATTCCATTGTTTTTCTAAAGCTATGATTTAGCAAATTATGAGCTAGGAAAACATACCTTTGCATTTGTTTGTTGTCTTATCCAAAATTGCTTTTGTAGAGACTATTTTCCCATATCTAAAAATGCAAAAAAAAGAGAGAGAGAGAGAGAAAAGAGGTTACAAGGAATCTTTATTAATGGCCAAGTCCAAAGAATACACATACACATACTTTTCAAACATCTGCAAACTTTAAAGTACAAAATGTTCTTTACTAAAGGGGCAGGAAATGAGAATTCTAAACTCAAAACTAAACTAAAAAAAGGGACTGACTAGGCTTCCCATTTAGATCTTTGGATTACAGCTTGATGTTTAGCTTTGAAGAACCAGATACTTACCTGACAATTTGGGGACAAAAACAAGGGGAATGGGAGACTGATTGATTGATCGATTGATTAGCAGCACCATGTCTGTGGTCAAATTTAAAGCCAAATGCAAGGCTATAGAAGTATCAAAGGAAAGTCCTATGATTCACAGTTTTCATGAAATACTAAAGGGGCAAGCTGCCTGCATCACTCTTTTTTTCTCTCTCTTCTTTTAAATTTATTTATTTACATTCATTTAATATACATTGTTATAACACACAAAATGAGATTTCCCATCCAGAATACACTGTACATTGGCTCAATCAAGCACATCAACATATGTGTTATTGTCAACAAATAATTTTCCATTTCTGGTTTCCTGTATATTTTGCTTTTTTCCTATCCTTGATTCCCTCTAACCCTCTGCCATCTCCTCCCACACTGTTTCTGGTATCCACGGTTGCTTTCTATGCCTCCCCCACCCCCCAACATTATATTGATTCACTAAAGATATTAATTAATCTAAATATTTTCCGTAGAAAGCAAAGCTGATATATACATATCCATGAACGTAAGTCTGACTTTAGACATAAACCTCAGTGAGCAGAATGAACATACTATAAAGTAGCACCTAGTTGGGGCTATATAGCTTACTATAGTCATCAAATAGGTATTTTTACTGCATATTTTTTAATTTCAAGAAAAACAGTTTTCGTGTTTTTTTTCCCCTGAAACATTTTCTTAAAATTAATTAATTTACATTCATTCCCTAAGCATCATCACAGTATATAAAATATGATTTTCCATCCAGAAAATACTGCATAGTGGCTTAATCATGCATGTTATCATCAAGAATTTTCCATTTCTAGTTTTTTATATATATACACACACACACACACACACATACATACACACACACACACATATATATACACACACACCCCTATTTCTGACTCTCTACCTTTTCCCATTCTCTTCTCACACTATCTCTGGTGTCTATAGTTGTCTTCCATGCCTTCCCTCCCACATTTTTATTGATCACACAACTTCTTAAATAATCTAACTACTTTCAATAGCAAGTTCAGCTGGTAATTTCAAGATAAGCAGTTTTAAGTTTAATAAAGCAAAGAAATGCTAAGTAACTTTGCTTAAAACTTAAAGCCAGGAAACAGGTTAGGATTCTATGCATATAGTAGGTACATGAATCTATCAACAGCTCAAGACAGGACAAAAATCTTTAAAACCAGACAACAAAGCCTAGAAGAAAATTAGCAATATTTTAGTTCAAAGTCATAAAATGCTATTTCACCAGTTCAGTCTCATGTACTTAAATCTATCTTCTATTATGGTTTGATCTTCCCAATTGAATTCTGGGATATAATAGTCAACTCCAGACGTATCCCTATGATTAAGTTGGCCATTTTCTTAGTTTTTGAATTCTTATTTCTGTGTGTCTGAATTTAATTTTCCTGATATAGCACTCCCTTGAGAACTTCTTAGAGATTTGGTCTGGTACTGGTAAATTCTTTCAGGTTTTGTTTATCTGAGAATGTTCTTGTCTTTTCTTCCCATATGGAGGATAATCTTGCTGGGTACAGTATTCTTGGTTGAAATTGCTTTCCCCTTAACACTTTGAATATATTTTCCCATTCTTCCCTCACTTGCATTATTTCCGATGAGAGGTCTGCTGTTAGCCTGATAGGACATCCTTTGTAGGTAACTTGCCTTTTTTCTCTTGCCAATCTTAGTATCTTGTCTTTGTGGTTTTGGTCAGTCTGGCTTTAATGTGTGTTAGAGAAGATCTTCTTGAGTTGATTTTATCTGGGGTTCTTTGTATTTCTTGGGACTGGATCTTTGAATGCCTCTCTAGGTTTGGAAAGTTTTCTTGCAGAATTTCATGGAATAGATTATCAATGCCCTTATACGTCTTCACCTTCTGGGATGCCAATTATCTGGATGTTTGGGCATTTGATGGTATTTAGTATTTCTCACATATTATTCTCATTTTGGGGGCACTTTTCTCAGTCTTTGTGGTGGATTTTTCTAGGCCAGCAATTTTCTCTTCTACGTCTGAGATTCTGTTTTCCGTATGATCTAGTCTGCTTTTAATACTTTCAAGGGCGATTTTGACTTCCTGTGTGATAACCTTCATCTCTAACAGGTCCATTTGATTATTTTTTAAAGTGTGTAATTCCTCTTTTGGATCTTGCAAGAATTTTCTCACCTCCTGGAACTCATCATCTCCTTTCTTCTTTCTCTTCTGCAGTTCATTGTCTCTCTTCTCTTCCATCTCTGTTAGCTTCGCTATTATGAGTATTCTAAATTCTTTATCAGATGTTTCCATGATTTCCATTGAACTGTCTGTGGATGAAGAGGAGCTATTCTTTTCCCTTGGAGGAAAGGTATTTTCTTTCTTTCCCATATTTTTTGTGGCCCTGAGGTGATTTCTAGTCATCTGATGGAAGGTGTGTTTCTTCCTAAACTTGAAGTTCAATCTGAGTGTTCAGGAGCGTGCAGAAAGAGGTGATCTTAAATCTCTGCCGTTTCATTTTGATTCCACTTAAGTTTGTAGAGTGGAGGCGGAATTATCAGTAGAAAATCTTCATTTCTCTTTTTTCACTGAAATCACTAGTTCTCAGGAGCTATGAAGGTGTCTTCTTTTCCCTGCATCACTTCAGTTCTGTAGCTAGCACTCATGGCTCTAGAGCAGCACAGAAGGGTATGTGTGTACACGTGTTTATGTCTGACACACCCAAAAGTAAAACAGTTTTTTATTTTTTTATGTATTTATTAGCACTACTTCTCACTCAGTGATAAGAGTTACATAGTATACTCACTAACACGCATGAGAATGCACATGTGTGTAAGACATGATTAAGAATTTAAGCTGATGAACGCGGGGTCGGTCATTAATTTTGTGAGGGCTTATGTGGGAAATGCATTCAAATTCTTTAACATGCCATAGAAGTTTGGGAAGATGGGAAAAAAATGTAGAACATTAAAATGTAAAGCACTGTTACTGAAAGTGAAGTGACAGTACAATTTAAATATAGGCAAGTACTTAAATAAGTTTGTGGAAAAATGGAACAAGTATATTTTGGTGCAAAAAACGTTGAAATCCATGCAGTTTTTTTTTTTTCATGATATACAGTTTCCATTTACTTTATGAAGATTCCACGTGTGTACTCAAAGTATGCACTCTTATAGGAACCAGATCATAAATAAAAGGACTGTTGTCTATGTTTATCTTCTAAAAATTCAGGGAAAAAAATACCCTTGAAAAACATTTTTTAAAATTTTCTTTAAAAATCAAGTTGGGGTCAGCAGAAGGCATGGTGGTTAAGGCACTGGACTCCTACATAGCTAGCTAAAGTCTGAGTCCTGGACCCAGAAGTTTGAAAGTCACTCTGGGCATATGGGCATGTGTGCCCAAAATCCCAAGAGGAGAATGGTGAAGGGATTATGACATGGCCATCCTCCCTGGGTGGCTGATTTCTTCCTTTCCTTCTCTCTGTCTCTCTCCAGTAAGTGCATGAGTCCTATGGCAAAAACGTTTAAAAAAAATTCGAGTAAGACTTAGAGAAATACACATAACTTACTTCATGCATCTCAGGTATCCTCATTTATACATGGTAAATTCCAAAATTCTACTTTCCCTTTTATGAACTTTTAAAATCCCACAACTGCTCTACTATAACTTTCTTACAACTGATTTTGAGAGTTGTAAGAGCTTTAGGAAACAGAAGAATTTGTGTAGCATTTTATTTGATTTATTTGAGAGATTTTTGCTATCAGGGACATTTGCTTGCCGGAAAGAAAGAGAGAGATAAAGAGACAGAAAGCAAGAAATCACCCCCAGGGGCATGGTCATGCTACAATCTCATCTCTTCCATTTTCTTTTCAAAATTTTAGGCATGCATGCACACATGCCTGGCGTGAGTTTCAAGCAGCAAGGTCCAGGACTCAAACTGTGGTTGTCTGTGTGGAAGTCTAGCACCTTAACCACTATGCCACCTGCCTGCCCTTGTGCAGCATTTTAAACTATTGAATTTTTGTAGTCTCTTCTATTTTATACATTAAAACAAGCTGAAATTTATTTAGAAGAAATGAATACCTCTTGCTTCCAGTTAATTTTCCCTATTTTCACTCTGTGTAATAATGTAATCAAATGATTACTAACTAGGCATGAAAGTAAAGATAATTTCAGGTTCAAATGACAATTACATCCATGGGGCATAATGCTGCACAAAGCACCTTTAATTCCCTGTAGAGATTCAGAGCACTTACAATAACATTAACACAGATCACTAAGCTTAAAAAAATTTGTTTTAAATCCACAAATGATAAAAAAAAAAAAAAGTGAGTTAAAGACTACCTTTTGGCAATCATTTGGCTACTTAGATTATATGCTTGATATCTACCCACACTCTCGTTTACACAAATCTCTGATGAAAGCATTTTTAGACTGCATTCCTGCCTCTTATCTTTCCAAAGCAGGGGGGGGGAGGGGGATAGTATGACTTCAATTTAGGAAAAGGGGATTGAGCATCCCAGAGATTAAGGAATTTAGCCTAAGGTCTCTAAGTTCAGGAACTTTGGTAAACCAAATAGAAGGCACTGGCCTTCTACAGTTGTGGCTCTTCTTTCAACATTTAATGGTGAGAAAAATGGGGAAAGACATGAAGGAAAGGAGATGCAGGAGTAGGAATAGACAGCCTCTTGGTGCACACGCTCCATGCCACACCCTCCCCTAGTTCTGGCTGGCTTTGATCTC